GGGGGGGGGGGGGGGGGGGGGGGAGAAGAGTGAGCAAGGGCCAAGAGGGCGGGGGTTGGGTGCCGACCTGACTGCCGTGTCCGTTACGCAGCCAGACAGATACGTACACGGTTTGTGGCGCCCCTGTCACTTCCCGCGGCCGTCACGCCGATGCTCAGCCTGCGAATCTGTCCAGACCCCCAGCACCCCCCAACCCCCCCCACTGGCTGCCGGACAGTGAGGCGACGGATGCTGCCGGCTGGAGCCCGTTACCTAGCGACCGTAACCGGGGAACCTGGGCCAGGTTAGCCCACATGCCGAGCGGTGACATTTAACACCCTTGCCCTGCCCGTCCCTGGCGTGTCTGTGACGCTGAGGCTCTCGGTGTGGCCGCGGGGCATTGGCTAATGGCGGCACGAACGGAGCATCATGAGACGCGTGTGATGGTGCCTCTCTGCCAGCCGTTGCCGTCCGTCTTCATCTGGGAGACAGTCAAATTGGTCCTTATTGAGAATGATTGAAACTGATTATTTTCGTTACAGCGCACGGCAATATTGTGCACCAAAGAGGAGATGGATGTGACTATTTTTCTTTTTTTTGTCTGGGGAGGGTGTGTGCTGTGTAGATTTTGTCAAAAGGTGTGGGGGGGGGGGCATCTAAAGCAGTCAGAGGTTGGGAACATTCTTGGGTGTTGCCTTACGCCTGCACATCACGACCTGGAGTGCGGGGACGGGGGGTGGGGGACGTTAGTCAGACCCCCCCGATATCTCTGACCCACACTATGAACTGCATAACATTTTCTGCAACCCCTCCCCCCCAATTAGTGGTTAACCACTCTACCCCTTTGTGTCTTGCAGGTAGAGGACGCCATGCTTATGTTTGATAAAACGACTAACAGACATAGAGGTGAGTCTCATGCTCCTCCACTTCAGCGTTTTTGGGGGGGGGGGCTGGTCTGGCGGTTCGCTTCTGCCCGGCCCCCACTCACACTCCTCCTCTCCCCAGGCCTGTCAGACCTCCGAATATTTAAATAAAGCAAGCCCAGTCAAATTCTTTTCTTTAACGGTGAGCGGTGAGATCAGCCCGGTCAGATAT